CCCCCCCCCCCCCCCCCCCATCGTGTCAACCCCTACCCTAACATATATCTCTTCTCCCTTACCCATCCTCTGTAGTATACACTCCTCCCCACTACCCAACCGTCCTAACTCTACTCCCGAATATCTCTCCTAAATTCCAGCCACATTTTTGTTAGTTTTTAACACACTATTTGTTAAAGTCAAAATATCAGTTCCATATAGTCTATAAAATGCATTAATGTTCTGCTCTAGATCATATCAGTAAGTACAGGGATAGGAATGTCCATCTCCAGGTCGGGGTGTTATAACTTGACAATTTCTGCTCTTTGTACAATGCAGGAAAGGTCAAAACGTTTCTGCCCTATAACCATACACCATAATGACCTTATATCATAATTATCTATCTCAGAATGCAGGAAACGCCCAACAGTGAATAAACAGTCAAGCTTCATTAACCCAAGTCAACTGTATCTCATAATTTTCCACCTCAGCACATAACAAAACGACACATTATTTACCATGACTTGAAGTTTCTTAGCACATGTACAACATAAAGAATGTGTCTAATATAAGAAGAAATTATTTACGAGTCTAAAGTTAAGATAAACTTTTTTGTAAACATTATTTACTATGACTTGAAGTTTCTTAGCACATGTACAACATAAAGAATGTGTCTAATATAAGAAGAAATTATTTAAGTGTCTAAAGTTACCGTAAGATAAACTTTTTTGTAAAATATTTACTTATCATATAAGGCAATATACACAAATATGTGGAAATATAGTGTTAAAAGATATCATAAACCGGTGATAAAGAGAGAGAGATAAAGTGTTGTTTGTGTTGATTAGGGGTTGGGAAGGGGTGTTAGTAGGTTAAGGGGTGGTCATCACGAGTCTTGAGTAGTTGCTGGCCAATCTTGTAATTAAAGTTATTTACCTCTACAAAATAGTTATATATCAAATAGACTTTTAATCAGATCTGCTGACATACACCCCCTTTCCCAACCAGGAAGATATTATTCAATTTTAAACAACCTTGATCAGTAGCCTACCTGTACCACTTTGTCACTCGTATATATTTACACCTGATGTCATCTTTGTTTACCTAGATTTAAAATTTCATGAATCAATAGTTTTGAAGCACTTGTCCCTCCCACTCTATCTTCCAATAACATCTCAAGAGGCTTTACTTTCCAATCTCTTTCCCTCCCCCTTATTAAGTATATTGTTCCATCGTTCCCCATCCCTCTCTCGAGGTCTCCCTTCCATCCCATCTTTACTTCTCTGGATTTTCCCATCCTTTACCCTTTTTCCTTACCTTTCAATGTCCTCCATCCCCTCTTACATCTTGGGTTATCCCTTTGCCCCTACCTTTGGGATTGTCCAATTTTTACCGCATAGCTTCTTGAGGTCTCCAAGTCTAACACCCACCCCCCTTCCGACCCCACTTAACCTCTTAATATTCCTCCATCTGTCCCCTCTCTCTACCTCTTTCCTACCTTCCCCGTCTCTCTATTCCTCTGCCAGATTCCTCTAGAACTACCCCTTTCATCTTTCTTTCCAAACAAATTAAGCCACTTCAGTTAAAAGTAAGAAAATATTGGGGTTACAGGTATACACAAATATGGAAAACAAATTAAAAATTCTAATTTGAATTAAAACATCTTATATATTTTGTGTCATTAACCTTCATTTGTTCATTTCATCACATGCCATTTTTAACAATTTAATTTATTGAATTCAACCAATAGTCAATACATTATGTCTTTAAAAAATCTTAGAATTGTAAGCAATTTTCCATGCTTTTATTATCATTTAAAACCACTTTTTTAAAAAGTTGTTTGAAGAAAAGTTAGAACGTGATTGGAGTGCACACAAAAATCATAATCACACACCCGTATTTGGACTTTTTTTCTTCACACTACATTTAAATAGGGCCAAGTACACAAGTCCTTTGCAGAGATTTGGGGTTTAAACCTCTTGCTTGACTGGTTGCTGTAATGACTACAGGGCTATAACCTATCAGAAACCAGCTCGAACAGGAAGTGAGGAATGTCAATTTATAAACACAACCTTTTAAGATTGTGATGCAATGATACTCAACCATTTGATAGTTACTTAGTCTCGTCATTTCTATTACGCAACAACAATGACAGACACATTGTACTCATGCTTTTCTACCCCTATCAATTTAAAATATAGACCTTATTTAAATAGTTTAACAAATCACTGTAAATCATGTATACTTCAAGAAGCTAAATAATTTATTTAATATAATTTGTGATGGGAGCCCACTTGCAAATTGAAATATCCTGTAAACGTTTATTCTGGTTCAGTTCAACAACAGACGCAGTTGTATTTGATGTACTAAACATTGAAATTCTCACATATAAAAACAGTTGTCTGAAAAATAATAAAACTTGTGAAAAATAAAACAATTCATATTTAGATATTGCCATACCACCAGCGTCCCTCAGACATATGCAGACTATCATCAAATCTAGCTATCGCTTTTGATTTCTAATTGTATACTACTTAAATAATATACACCTCTTTCCATTCTTCATTATATGTTCGCTGACAACTTAAAATAACTTTGTGCCTAATCCCGTGTCCAGAGCTTTACAACAAAATATGTTTAATCTAGCATGTGCTTCGATCTGTAAGTACAATACTGTGAAGGATGTTTAAACTGAATATCTGTAGCAAATTGATTATATTTTTAAGATCTCGTTCATGGCTTCAGAGAGACAGTATAAAGCAATAATTATATTAAGTTATTTTAGTAACGCTAGTGTGTACATCTATCCATACTCCATCTTCAAATTGTTGAATTCGCAAAAAAATCCCCGAAACCCTCAAACCCGCTTGGGTACAACCAATCACCTAAAGGTGAAAGAAGTAAATAATGAGTCTTATTGATTACATCCAGAAGCAGCACAGACCTGTTAGTGAGCCATATTTACTGGAATACGTGAAAAGGTCAGGCGTATTATACCCACACCTACAGGTGTAGGTCAGATTTTCAGTGATATTGACTGGGGCTAGCCGGATTGGATCTGTGCTGTATTATATCATGAATAGCCAGTTGATATACAAGTACCTGGTAGTAATTGTTGCTGTGGGAAACCACAATCAATCAAACCTGTTATTAAAGCTAAGGTGACTAGTGGTCATTTAACTATCAGGCCATACACCTCTGACCTCAGGTAATCATTGCACAACAGTGGGTCAATACACAAAAGAAACGGAGTTCAGAGACACTGTGTATTAAATATAAAATATCTTAAATACACCAACATAATCCCACGCATAACATTCCTCAGGAAGTTGTGTAGGGGTAATTGCACGATATGTAGGTCAACCTTCAGGTGCTAAACTTTTGTATGTACATAAATATGACATGGTGACGACCTGTCTTGCAATCAGGAATCATGTACAGGCTATCTATCTTGGGACTGCGTAGGTGGCCGCAACACCTGTGCTTGTACTGAGGAACATATAGGTACTTAGTCTCTATTAACTGTATGTAGGTCTTACCACGGGTATTGGGCAATCTACGCCTGTGTGCTCAACTTATATTACCATCACATGGTTAAAACTCTCATGTTCTAGTGACCTACTTTCACAATACACACAAGAAATCATTCCTATAGTTACGCAATTTCTAGGTTAAATGATGCATGTCTTCCCACTATTTACCTGGGATTAATATACTTATCAACAGGAACGTGATTTTTTTTTTAAATTTCAAGAATTTCAACAACAGTTTAAGAGAACAACAGAAGCTTATCGCTAACACGGAATTAGATTAGACGGTATCATTAATTGATTCCCATGGTACCACTGATTATAAGCTATCATTGATTCCCATGGTACCACTGATTTACTAACAATTATTGGAGCAAGCTTTGCTAACTAAACATGTCTTTCTCTGTATCAATTAAAAGTAAACACGGAAGATAAAATATGAAATAAATATACATGATAAATATCAAAATTCAACATGTACAAGACAAAGACAATTAAAATGTGCATCGTATAATAAATGCACCCTCTTCCATTAAAGAACACATTCTCCTTGATCTACGAACGTGAACTGCTCGGGATAAGTTATGTGCCTACGTCAATGGACGTCACTGCATGGAACGAGGACGCGTGCATGGAACGAGCACTAAAACGCTGAATGGAAACAAAGAAAACGAGACAACTAGAAATCGCCACTTACCTGTCTTTATAAAGTAAATTGATCTTGGCTTGTGGAATTTTTAACTTTCTGGAAATTGCATTTTTGAGTCCATTCACTGTTTCGTTAGCACTTAAGTTCAGCTCAAAACTTCCTCCCGTAGTAGGACATATAAGCAAACGAGTGCGATTCGCTGATGAACTTCTGCTACTTTTCGCAAAATTAAAATCCATAGCTTCTTTGTTTTCCATGTTAATTTTTCTTTGCTAATGCTTCCAACTTGTTCGAAGAATGTAAAAAATAACTGAGAACAAATAACGCGACGTTCATACAGTTTTATGATGTTTTCGAAGTGTGTTCGTGGCCGTCCTGAATTGACGGAAGAGCGTCATTACATATCTTCCCTTTGCCTTAGAGCTATTATATGTAGCGAACCAATCAATTTCGATGTGGGCTGATCCACTGCAGGGGTCACAAGTGGAGGTCACCTATACGTCATTGATATACAATTTACACAACTTTGATCATATGCATTCTTTTCGTCGTGGAACAAAGCCGAAACTGTATACTGACTATCGTGTTATTTGATTCTGCCAGAGCTCACGAGCGCACGTCCTATCTGATCGAAACACAGCGTCGATAAGGCGGCAGCGGTGAACTGATCCCCACTACAAGTAGACTCGTCCGTTACTATTAACCGTAAAAACCTCAGTTACGTCAATGGGCTGAGATCACGTGTGTGTTTGTTTTCCTCAATGGATATGAAGGCTAGCTAGTGTAGTGTAGAATCAATAGCGAGTTAGCTGTCTTATAACATGTGCGATAGTCACGTGGTTGGAGCAAGTATTAAGCAGCTTGTTTATCTTTAATCTTTGTTCACATGTAAACTGATTGATGATATGACCTTAATTATTTAGATCAAGGTCGTCGTTAAGGAGAACTGATCAATGTCAACATATAAAATCAATGTTGCTATCAACAATCGCAATGGAAGATGAACCAGTGACGCTAAGGAGAGTGACGTCAGAAAATTAAATGAGACATGGGACTTCAATTAAATTCTGATACCCAATGTGATGCTGCTGTTGTATTTAATTTCGTTCTGTTAGCATGTTGCTATAGGCTCTGCGCGCTGTTTAGCGTGTTGTTGTTTTTTGCGGGTCAATTGCTAATACATGTAATGCTTCCCTACAATGCACTCTCCATCTTAATACCAGTACATATTTATTCCTTTTTATGTGACCAATTTGCATTCAAATTTTAAGTTCACCTTTACAATTACAAGTGTATATATAATATACAAAAAGAAAGTGAAATTAGCCCTTAGTCCACAATACACTGGTTTTTATATACTACGTATAAAAACGTATTAAAAAACGAGTAAGTTATTTTCAGTGGCTAATATAGATATATTTACATGTATGCCGAGGAGCACTTTGTTTCTCTGAATCAATCAGCCTTTACATTGCTAACAAGTGTAACTTATATCGGAACCTCTATAATACGAACTTCCTTTGAATAATTCGACAAACGTAATTTATATAAAGGGATTCCAGTAATTATATACTGTTATTGATCATAATCGGTGTCCTTTGCCTTAGATTTCATGTTGAGTTCTGTATTTATTATTTTATTTATTTATTGTTACTGTTACCGTGGCCTCGACTCGGATAGAGATATTTTCTCTTTAGTTCATTCGATAGAGCATAAGACTGGTAAATCAGAGGGCCCGGGTTCGACTCCTGGCGGTGGTATTAACAATTAATGACCGCTGTGACATTGGCGCCCACGTAGGGACCCCGGAAAAAAGGATAGAATACTAGCAATACTTGCAAAGGAATCACTATGACTCAGAAAAAACTCCTGGAGAGGGATTATTATCTTGGTCAAAAGCTAGCTCTTTAACCCATTCGGTGGAGTGTAAGACTACTAAACCAGTGGTCCCGGGTTCGACTCCTCGCGGAGGAATTGAAAAAATAATGACCTCTGTTATACACCAATTTGATGTTGATTCAGGCACAATTACAAAATGAAGTGCGCCTTCCTTCAGGCGAGTTAATAAGTACAGTCAGTGACAGCGTATGTATGTGTTGATTTACACCGAAGGGTAGCGGAGTTATTTCCCCTGCTCCTAACAGGTGACAGTGAACTGGATTTTACGCTGCATGAAAATATACTGATTTCTAAGAATTGCTCAGGATAATTTATAGAAATTTGAATACCGCAATTAATAATGATTTCTAAGAATCGCCTACGGATATTTAATGCTCAAAATTATGTAGGGCACAATATGATATTTAGTTTTTGAGTGAGTGCCAACATAAGGTGATATTAAGGACGTAGCACAAGGCCCGGACATAGCACGCACTGTTAGCTTCAAGGAGTCGTTAACACAAATTTACAAAATGCTACTTTTAAGAAATATGGATTAACGTTAGTGTTTCTTATCTAATATTTTGAACCTATTTACCGACCTATACCGATGATGCAATTTTAATTTTTAATGTTGCTGATATTTTTAAGATATACCGAATGGCAGTGGTTAAGCTTACCAATACTTTAACAATACGGTCCTGATTTACAAATATAGATGATCGTGACGACACATACCTTATGGATTTTCCTAAATTAGCATTATACGATTTTTGATTTTCATTGAGATGGATATTGCTTTTAATTAAGATCGTTTAATTAAACCGACGGAATCTTTCCCAAGGCCGTAATTACGAGAGTTGAGGATACACTTTTAAGCCTATTGCCAAGTTTTACATGTGCTTTTTATTTTTCCCGGGGCGAATCTGAGAGAAGTATGACTGATCAAGGGGTAATGGAAACCTGATATATCCACAAATCCCATATTTTAAGTGTTATACCAAAAACGAAATGCAGAGGTATTCTTAAAGATCAATTTTCCAGACTGCAAGTCCGAATATCTATCATCTCTTTCAATATTGTTTGCGCCTGAGTCCAAATATCAATAACAAGGAGGATAAGGTCCTAACAAGCTTCGCCTTCCTTTCACCTTTTTGGTCATTTCTGTGAGGAAGTTGCAGAAACTGCCTAGGGAGTTAGTCTATGGGGATTTTTTTAGTTTTGGACTACTACACGGCTGCTAGTGGGCTAACTTCATGGACAGCGAAGTCAGAGCAAAAATTAAGTTAAAGTGCAACTTTTGTATAGTATATATATATGTGCAGCGGAACTAGACTGGGTCGTTCATCGGGCGGCCATGTACATATTATATGTAACTCAATTGGTAGAGCGTCAGTCTAGAGTTCGGAGAGTCCCGGGTTCGAAACCCGATCTGGCCGTTGCATTTCTCTTTCTTCGGTTACATATGTAATTCGTAAAATTCTGAAATTTAAAGCAGCCCTGCAAGCTTACTCCCTCGGCAGTTTCCGAAGTGCAGACTAACTCCCTCGGCAATTTCTTTGACTTTCTCGCGGAAATGACCGAGTCGATCAGGTGGTAGGTTAGCAGAAGTATGGGAATTCGGGATGTAGTGAGCTTCTGGACCTGTCTATTCCCCTCGGCTTATCGATTCGGGAAATATACAGGGTCTCAGAAAACTTAAGCTTGCTACGTGTATGTCCCCAAGCCCCTACATGTCGTCCGGTTATACTTACTTTATCAACAGTTTCTACAACTTCCCCAAGCAAAAATGTCCGAGCAACTTGATAAGGTGATAACTTGGCGGAGCTTGTTTTGATCAGATTCCTTCTAGTTATGATCGATCGTGAGTCGAAAAAGCGCAGAGGAAGTTGAAAGTTGAAATCTTTGGGATTTCTGGATTTAGAAAGTTGTTACTTCCTGAGACTATTTTTTGGGGAACCAGAAACTTCCTTCATACACAAAGCCTCGTATTTAGACTGTGCAAGTGTATCAGTAATGTTTATCTAAAAAAAAAATCTCCTATGCAACTACGTTAGAGCTACTCAAAATGTTTATACTTTCCAATTTGAAGATAGTCACATGGGTTGGCGCGTTATTTCAAATTATTGAGTGCCATCCTGTAGTAGCACCAACATTTTAAATCGGGTTTATAGTTAATTAAAATTAGTCATAAGGTATTGGGTGTAACACGATATATGTAGATGGAAGAGCATACAACGGTCCTCCAGCTTTTTATAAGACGTAATGTCTGTCCATTGTATGTGTACGTAATGGTTGTCTGTTTTAATGACAAAAATGTAAGTGATTTAACGTGGATGGTAAACAATTGTTTTCAGACATTGACGTTTTATTATAATTAGACGCATGTTTGGCAGACAGTCCACCCTTTCACCGGCATGGCGGTACACCATTTTACGCCAATTAGACAATTGGTGATACATATTGTGTGACGTCATCAACAGTCAGGTCGATATCGACATTTAATTAAAGTCACGACTTTAACGTTAGGTAGGATCATTCGTACGCCTGGCCATTTAGCACACCTCCACAACTGTCACGAACAGCAGTTTTCGTGTGCTCCAGATTATGGTGTTGCTGCCAAAGAAACGGACCAGAAAACTATTAAACTGACCCTATATAGGGTCATTGTATTTTAACTGACCACACAATGTACGTCATTACTAAACGACTATTAGCATAAAGAATGGTATGCCTTTTCCGGAATGATCTTTAGAGCTATTTTCCAATTATTGTCGACACGACGCCATTTGATATGTTAATTTGTTTCCAAATGTGAGGGCTGTACAGAATAGTTTATATTATTTGCTTTTGAAATACGTCGTTATGGTGTAACCGATTCATGACGTAATAATGTTAAAACAACAATAACAATGACGTAGCATCACCTTTGAAATATTTCGGACTGCCTGGTCTAAGTTTGTAATCTTTTCGTTTTCGGTATGCTTTACCTATAATACCAAATGATTGAAATGCTGCACACTCACTAAGCTTGTAAGAGAAAACGGAATAGAATAAAGGAACTAGAACCAATAGAAGAGAAAATGGAAGAGTAGAAATAAAATAGAACTGATTCCTATTTCAGTCACCCAGTGCTTTACCGATCGCTTCTGTATTGATTTCAGGTGGCTTTATCTATTTTTTATATCTTATTTTAGATTAAATGGGATTTAATATCATTGTTACAAGCATGTTCGTTAATGTTCACAGGTCAATGTTTAGGGGTGGAGAGGGGTGGGGAGTGTTGGTGGGAGGGGGGTGGGGCATTCAAGTGTTTCTCGCTTATTAATATACCACGGGTAAAAATGATAACAGATAAGCGAATGAAAAAACACCGTCCTCCAAGTTGTTATCCTTGAGAATGTCATAGACTGATCTATATAAGACCAAGTTGTTACCCTTGAGGATGTCATGTACTGATCTATAAAAGACCAAGTGGCTACTCTTGAGGATGACATGCACTGATCTATATAAAACCAAGTTGTTACCCTTGAGAATGTCACAGACTGATCTATATAAGACCAAGTTGTTACCCTTGCGAATGTCATGGACTGATCTATATAAGACCAAGTTGTTACTCTTGCGAATGTCATGGACTGATCTATATTAGACCAAGTTGTTACCCTTGCGAATGTCATGGACTGATCTATATAAGACCAAGTTGTTAACCTTGAGGATGACATGGACTGATCTATATAAGACCAAGTTGTTACCCTTGAGGATGACATGGACTG